CCCTGTCACGGCAGAGAGCCGTGACAGGATCGAGAGGTGAGCGAACGCCGGTATGTGTTCGCTCACCTCCCGATTTACTGAGCCGACCTGTGACAGTCTCATTGTCACAGGTCGGCTAGAACTATGAGGTGAGTGAAAAGCACTCACCTCATAGTTCTCACCTCATAAACACGGAGAAAATACATAAAACAAACTGTTGATGTGCTAGAAATATAGTATGCGCCTACCATCTCTTTGACATGACAGAACAATGTATTTTTGGCTCTGAATTACAAAGCATGTTTTATCAGCCCTGCCTAGTTCATTTCTATCATATTCTAAAAAATATAGACTTCCCCACCTCTTCATCTGATAGCCCTTCCTTGTGCACAGACAAGGAGCACAGGACAGGAAGTTATCCGATGACAAGATTACTGGTAAAATCAAACAAAACAAAAACATGTTCAATAGTATATTTAGCAGATTAAAAGGGAGCAAACCTGAGAAGTTGATTGTTAGGGCTTACATACACTTTAAATACTAAGACAGTGAGAGATGATGATGTATTTCGACTGATGATGGCAAACAATTTTAATGGCTGGTAACTACACAAGGAAAAGCTGACTCTTTGTCTCTGATGCATGTGAATGCTAATGCCAAATCCTGCCAATTGGAGTTTGTGCACTTTTCATATGTTTATATGGGGTTCCACCCACAATCCAACAATATATTATATTCAGTAACTGAATATAATATATTGCACACATTACACACAATTTTGTTTAGACACATATACTGGGGCTAAAATGATCATGAACTGAATTTCAGTTCATGATCATTTTAGCCCCAGTATGTGTGTCTAAACAAAATTGTGTGTAATGTGTGCAATTCTAAATCAATGAGTTACAATGCCAATATCTATCTGCAGCTCCATTGTAATGTAGATGGTCCTGGTAAAAATGGACAGAGGGTGGGATCTTTCCTTGCTTCTACATGTAAGGATTAATAACCACAAACAAAGTAGGCAATCAAACTAAATAATAAAGGCACCAAAATAAGGAAAGAGAAAAAATCTATTTTATGACTCATAGTCAGTATAACATCCATAGATTAGCCCGAAAATTTTATAATTAATAGTCAGGAAATCTCTCTGATAAATGCTAGCTGGAACATGTTTCCACGACAGTGACCGTTCTCTGCAGGGAGAGGATCGGGAAGTCATCGATCGGCAGTATGTGTTCGCTGGTTTCCTGATCAATAGAGCCGACCTGTAACAGCTTCTTTGTCACAGGTTGGCTTGAATTCTGGGGATAAGTGTTTTTTACTCACCCCATAATTCTCCTTTAAGAAAAAGGAACATTTATTCATAGGCAGGGAAGTGAACATTTTGGACTGAGAGGACAACAGGTAAAAAGGAGACAATCTATTTCAAACTGCAATAACCATCACTAAACGGGTGGGAGCCTTCCACTCAACCTGCCACCCACATATAATTCTATATTTACTAGACTTGTGCACAGCTGAAAATTTTGTTTCGTTTTTGTTTCTATTTAGCTTTTTTTGTTTTATGAAATTCGGATCTGTTTGATATTCAGAATTCGGGTCGATCTGAAGTTTTCGTTTTTTAAATTCAAATCTATTTGGATAGAGTGTAGGTCTTTTTTAAATGTGAAAATAAAAAAAAAGTGCCAAAAAAAAGCATGGTGGTCCCCCCCAAAATCCCTTACCAGACTCTTGATCCGAGTAGCAGGCTGGCAGAGCAGGAAAGGGGGGGATGATCGAGCGTCCCCTTCCCACTGCACCATACCAGGCCAGGCCCCCTGGCAAAGCACTTTGTCCCCATGTTGATAAGTACATCTGATTCTGTGTGCCCCTTTATGAAATTCCTACCAGACCTGGTATGAATTGGGGGGGAACCCCACGCTGTTTTTTGGGTTTGTTTGTTTTTTTCAAATTTAACAACATCAGTTCATTCTGAATGACATTCAGACAAATTTTCGTTATCACAAATTCAGGTACTTTGAAATTCATTAATTCGTTACCTGCTGATTTTTGTCCAAATGTCAGTTTGGACGAGAACAAGGGCACATGTCTACTATTTACCTCAGTGTATGGACACCAATTTATACTCTCAACTATGTATCTCAAACAATTGAATACTGTCATCTTCATGGCACTATATTAATTGGATTATGAAAATAAGAGGAGATGGTTTCACAACTTTAACTTTGTCATGTTCTTGGATAATTGGCATCTTGACATTTTATGATACTTTGGTGATTGGATAAAGGTAATTGAGTTATTCATTTGGCATAATCCTCTGACACAAGTCCTTAACAGTTAACCCTCACTAGACCAACACCCAAAACCTAATACAAACCTTAAATCCCAACCTTAACACTTTACCTAATTCCTAAAATAATCACTTAACATGTAACACCTGAGCCCAAACACTTAACCTGACCCCTAAAATTATCCTAGCCCGCAAACTATGCCCTAACACTAACCCTATTCTGCTGCATGCCTCTGCACTAATAGCAGGCAGTACTGCACTGAGATCGTGTACACCAAAACTCCTGGCCCTAGGAGTAACAGGTCCAGGACTGTCTATTGTATAGAACAGGACATCGTAAGTTTCTGTAATTGTTGACCCTACATTTGCCTCTAATTGCTTTGTTAGTGAAGAGCCTTGCAAAAGTCACCTGATATGCTAAGCTGGAATTATTCATGGGAGGCCCAGACATTTCCATAGCATGGGAGTCATTTCAACACTTAAGCTGCTCCGAGAGGAGATAAGGTTAGAGATGGCGGTGTACAACAAATTAATGTAAAGTGCAATGTGATCCCTGGTGCCCAGGGTGAGACGTGATAATTATAGCTGGGGAAATGTTACAATACGATATCATTCCACCTGATACCTGCACACACTGGAGCATACATACAAGTAATCAGCATAATAAAATAATGTTTATTTCTATTGTTAAAAAGCAGGCTCCATGACAAAATTTGTTATTTTTGCAAATGAATCTAAAGCTTGCAGATTGTATAATGTACATTTATACTGTAAAATAAATGACTGGATTTATTGAGCATGTAAATACTAGGAAAAAGCCACAAGGCCATAATTGAAATGATTGAGAAGGTGTAAAACTTAATGGGTGCCAGAGGCAAAATAAAACATTAATATTTCAGTATTATACCAATAGCATGCCCAACTACATTGCCACAGAGAGACCCAAGAAGAGAAAGGGAGCCTATTAAAGCATGGTACAAAGTAGTATAAGAAGTAACCCCCCCTTCCTATGCTGATTATCATTGGCCCTTTTCAGAAGCACCAATTCCAATAAGATTCTTTAAAGTCAATGGCATAGGAATGGGCTATTGATGCTGATAATAATAACAGATATTATCGCAATGGTGCTGGTGAGAAAGAAGCTTCAGTGAATGGGTTAGTGGTCAGCTGTCACAAGAAACCTTTACAGTACAGGAAGCTACACCAGGACACATAACATGGCTCCCATTGAGAAGCTACTGGTCAGACTTTTGGTAGGTGGCACCAATGCTAATAGGGTATGCACATACACTATATGTATCAAAAATAGCAATTATTGATAATGATCTTCAAATCTTTGAAATCGGCCTTCTGTCACATATATTTACCTAAGCACAGGCCCAAGGAAGTACAGACCTAACAACAGAAATAATGCAGTATATTATGCTATATTCAAATTGGGTTTTATTAAGAATAAAGTTGCATATAATGGATATCACAAGGAAAACCAACATCAATAGTTACTGTATGTCTTTGCTGAAAGGGTTTTAGCAGGTATGTAATCTCGTATCTTGAGGGACTAGAGTGTCCCTAATTCCAAGGTCAGTTTAAAACCTAGATGAGCAGAATAACCTGTCCAGTCAGTTTTGTTTCATGGAAGGAGAGGATGCAGCTGGGGTATGTGGGACATTTAAATGGATTTAGAGTGTAGAAAAGGGGAGAAAGAGAGTGGGTGAGAAGAGAAGGAAGTGGGATGGGGGTTGAGAGAGAAGAGGTATAGTTCACTCTGTGGCAGGTCTCACTGCGATTAAGAATTAGGAGTTAAAGTAGTATTAAAGCCTCAAACTTTTTTTCAATAATGAATCCAGATCAAACAAATATACAGTGCCCAGCAAAGCATTGCTTTACATTTTTACCCAAACACTTGCAATCATCATGTTTCTGAACAGCTGCTTCCAAGTCTCTCAGCTCAGCTTCCCTGAATTTCCTGTCTAGTTCTGATCACAAAGAACAGTGCAGACTCCAGCAACTGTTCATCTACTAGCTTGGAGGAGGGAGGAGAGGGGGCAAGGGGGAAGGGGAGTAGCTTGATTTGCTGTGTCCGTGTGTTTGTGGAGATGAACTCGTCACTGCTGAGCCTGATGAAGGGGACCCTGCGTGGCCCCGAAAGCACTAGTTCTGATGACATGACGTTTCAATAAACGAACATTTTGGATTTCAATATTCCTAGTGTGCTGGTGACATCCATTCATCTATACTACCTGGCGGTGCCATCCGCAGTCACTACGAGCACACCCCTCATCTGATCTGGGGTTTTCCAGTAAGGAGTGCGACAAGGCAACTCTATGTGTGTTTGTGGAGACACAAATCTCACTAGTACACACAAGGGAGACTGCACAGCACGCTGCTTGAGAAAGGAGTCACTTCAAAACAGGAAGTCAGGACCAGTGCTCAGGGGACCAGCTGATTCTGCAGGAAACTAAAACTTTTACACATCCAGAATTCATTGTAAGTGATAAGCATTTGAAATAGCTTAAAATCCTTTTGACTTTAATATCACTTCTAAAGCATTAATATAAGGCAATGTGGGGTAAGGGAATTATCCGTAATTAGACTTGATCATCAGAGAGGGGGTGGGTTAAATTTGGTCACCATCTTGCCTGGACGGGCTAAAAATTCTGTGAAGATCTGTGAGCCTTTATATACTATCCAAGCGGTCCAGGTCATTTGAAATTTCTCTGTAGTGTCCTGGTCAAAGGCAACTAGTTGTCCACATGTATTATGCTATTAAAGAAACCTGGCCATTTCAACGTTGTGGAGGGTCACCCTCTGCAACTTTATTACCTTTTCTTGGAGGGCCCCATAGTATAGACATCTGATTTGAGTCTAGAAGTTCTTAATGGGTTGACATGCCCACCAAATATGGTAGAGGGCAGGTTTCACTTCTGTAATTTCAGATGAAAGTAGGGGGATGTTTAAAATTTCTGATTTTGTTAAGTTAACTTTGAAGTTGCTCAACTCACCAAAAAGGGAGAATTCTTGTAGTCTTCAGGTATGCTAATTCTGGGTTCTGTGATATATAGAGCAGGAAATCTGCATAAAGGGCCAATTTGAGACCTTAGTTTTTCAATGCAACTAATTATTATTCCTAATTTGCAATTAAAACCAAAATATTCAAAATCTGTGCCCTGTATGTGTACTTTGGACCATATGCAACGAAAACCAGCTCTAATGGGCAGGGCCCTTCTTACCATCTTGTCTTGATTTGTATTGTAACTGCAATGCCTTCCTTATATTGTAAAGCTCTGCAGAAACTGCTGCCGCTATATGAATCCTGTATAATATATAAAATAATAATTATAATAACCATAAAATAAATAGTTTGCTCAGTGAACCATATATATGAATTTAAAACATAGAAAACTGAAGCTTTTTACATTCGTGAATTTTACCTGCTCCTACAGACGGCAGTAAACTCCTGACCTGCGTATTACGACCTCCAGGAATTTATGGACCAGATGAGCGAAGACTTTTGCCAAGGCTGGTGGTATGTCATCAGTTATAAAACATTATGTAGATTAAGATTAAAAACAAAGTAGTAAAGGGTGTTATAAACCCAATGCAGGGTTTATGTGGGCAACACTGGGTAAACACTGCATCAGCAGATGAACTTGCATCAATTTTCTATTAGGAATAGTAGGATCAGGGCCGGATTTACTCTCTCTGCTCCCCCAAGGCCAGGTTCCTCAATGCGCCCCGCTCCCCGCCAATCCCCCCCCCCAAAAACCCCAATGGAGAATGGCAACCAGATGGCGGGGGCAGCAGGGTTGTTTTTTTTGTTTATTTGTTTTTGCTTTTTTATCACTTTTTAATTTTTCTGTTTGTATTTAGTTTTTATTTTACTTTTTTACATTTCTATTTAAACAGACCTGACAAGCTGCATACAAGTGATCTCGGCGACATCTCTGGGATCACTTGTACAAAACAAGTGGCAGCTTCCCCATTGTACATTTACCCTGCTTGCCCAAAGCAGGGCTACATGTAGAAAGAAACTACGCGCCCAGCGGCCGGAACTGCATGTCCCAGGCTTTGGGCGATAGGAATTCCACACCCCTGCTGCCCCTCTACTCCCTGCTGCCCCAGGACCGGTACTTGTGGGAAGTGTAACACATTGTATAATGTCCTAAATAGAGGTTTCTTATGCCACTTTGACCTTAAAAGAGAACTATGGGGTAAGTGTTTTTCCCCATAGTTCTCCTAAGGGCCACAGGAGGACATAAACTAGCATCCTCCCGTGACCCAAAGCTCAGTATATCCCGAGCTACAGCTCGCGGTATACTGAGACCGCCACAGCCGGGACGGATCCTGACATTACTGTCGAGATCCACCCAGCTGCGTGATTGAAAGCTGGCTCTGCCTATCTAGAGGCAGAGCCAGCTTTACCCACCCCCTCCCCCATCCATACTGTCAGTCAGCAGTGGAGGATCGGAGCAGGGAGGGGGGGGATCCCTGCTCTCTGCAGGGAGATGATCCAGAAGTGAGCGAGCGACGGTATGTGGGAGAAAACAAAAGAGAAGGGCGCCCACCCTAGTGTAGATTCTTTTTAATATTGTATATTGAGGTAACAATAAGATCTGACGAAGGGGGCGTGGCCCCGGAAACGCGTCATCGTAAGGAGTCCTGTGCTGTCACACAATCTTCTGTGCAGCTTGTTGCAGATGTCATTCTGGCTTACCTTATACACCTCTGTCTTGATTCACTTTTGTGAGTATGTTTTTATTGTTACCTCAATATACATTATTAAAAATAATCTACACTAGGGTGGGCGCCCTTCTCAGTGCTCAGTGCCCCACTTCAGCTTCCCAGGCTGAAGTGGGGCAGCACCCATAGTAATCCTCACCCGCAACTATCCTTCATTTGTTGGTCAATGTTTGGCGCTTCTGATTCATTTTTTATTGAACGCCGGTTTGTGTTCGCTCACTTCCCGATCTATTGAGCCGACGTGTGGCAGTTTCATTGTCACACGTCGGCTCGAACTATGGGGATGAGTGAAAATCAATCACCTCATAGTTCTCCTTTAACTGAGCTGCTCACAATTATGGTCCTTGACATATAAAATATAAAAGATACAAATTACATGATCAAGTGGTGTTCATTTTTGCACCAATTGCCCCAGACTGACTTGTAAATAACTTACTAGTTTCACTGACCTGTATTTCTCTCTCCTCATCTAGATTACCTTAGTTGTTGTGTTTTAATTATCTGGAGTTCTTTGATAGCCTCTGTATTTGGGTATTTATAAGTATGTGGTGTTTCTATTATTTCTTTGATACTATGACTGGTAAGGAGAGCAGGAATTCTCTGAAGCATGTACTACAAAATACTGTGAGGGGAATTTATCAAAACTGGAGCAGACAAAATCTGGAGCAGCTGTGCATGCCAACCAATCAGCATCCACCTTTCATTTTCAAAGATGAACTGAACAAACTGAAGAGAGAAGCTGATTGGTTGCCACAGGCGACTGCTCCAGATTTTGTCTGCTCCAGTTTTGATTAATCCTCCCATATGTCTAGTTATCTAACAAAAGGAACAAAGATATTTAAATTTTACTGATTTAAGTTACTGATATGAATGGTTTCCGCTGTTTATATGATTTTCTTTATGTTAATTTAGGCTAATGCTGAGAAGAGATTGTTATGTTTCAAGTTTTGGAATGACCACACTATGATAAATTGGATTCACTTGTATAATCTGGTGGATGCTCATGTACTTGCCGCAGAAGCACTGACAGCCAGTAAAGGGTATATTGCTGTGAGTTGAAAGTCTTTGTATGTTGACTTTGGAACACAAGAACATGTGACACTTACAGTTGCAAGAAAAAGTATGTGAACCCCATGCAGTAATTTGCCTCAAAATGTGACCTGATTCTCATCTAAGTCACAGTAGACAAACACAATGTGCTTCAGCTGATAGCACATAAACAATTCAAATTTCTAAACTCAAATGCACAGTTCTGTAAATAAGACTGTATATGTTGATGATTTTAGCTTTATTATTTAATTTATTTTAAACAATGTACACAATAAAATTATATTTTTTTATATACAAATCGAAATGGTCATGGTGGTGCCTAAAAAGTCCGTTCTGCTGTTCTTTCTTATCTACTTCCTGTTGCAAGCTGACATTGCTAAGCCACTGCCCCGCAATTTGCAGCAGAGTTAACAGCAGGGCTTGTTTAGTTGCCCATTGGGCTACCTATTAGGCATGTGCTGCCTCTCGTAGACCTGATAGGCAGTCCAACATCCAACTAAACCAGCGCGCACCAGTCTGACATCCCTGATGCTGCTGCAACAGGAAACACTGCTGCTGGCAGGATCTCCAGGTAATAAACTTTGCAATAGATTCCCAAAAAATAATTTGCTTAAGAAAACTGCATACAATGAGGCATGATGTCAAACATACTAAAAATATATATTTAGAGTTTATGTACATTTTAAAGAGTATCCTAGCCCAAAAACAAATATTTAATATATTGCAACTTTTCAGTTTATAGACGCAGTGGTTCAGTTTATTATTTTTTTAGTTTCGTTTTTTAAGGCTATTTTCCTATTTCAGCTTAGTGATTCTGCCAATAACACACTTCCTATCCTAGGACGACAATGCTGGTGGCAACACACTGCACTTTATTATCCTGAGAGCAGCATTGTATTTACCATAGGCTTCTCTCCTGATTTGGACTGCAAACACCTACCTCTCCATTACATAAAGGGGCATTGTATTTACCGTAGGCTTCTCTCCTGATTTGGACTGCAAACACCTACCTCTCCATTACATAAAGGGGCATTGCTTGTAAGATCACATATGATAGCAGAAAAAGCCAAAAAAAAATATTTGATTTTAGCTCAGTCCAAAGAAAGTAACAAGGACACAGAATTCTAACAAGATTATTGGGTATTTTGCTGTACTTTTCTAGCCGTAAAAAAAGAAAACATTCTGCCATCAAACATACAAACTTAAAAGCTACAAAATACATCACATGTTGTGCCCTTTGGTTTAAATATATATTTCAATCATGTGATGTGACTTTATTTAATAAATAACCAGATAACTTTTATTACTATGTTTCAGAGTGGAAAGGCATATTTTATCCATGATGGGGAGCATGTCAGCTTCCATAAATGGTTTCATCCAATGGTATGTGTAATAATGGCAAAATAACAGAATTTCATTTAAAGGCAACAAGTATCATAAGATACATATGTGTAAGAGTGTGTTTAGTTAGCACATTACTGCTCTCATAGTAGAGATAAATACTTGAGGCCCCGGTTGAGCTTTCATTTTATCTACATTTATGTAAAAATTATGTTATGGTTTGTCTTCTTCTTCACCAGTTTTTATTTTTGACTGCAGAAATGTTCTTTATTTAACATGATGTCAGTCTTGTTAGATTAGAACAAAATACTGAGCACCTCTACAACCTAGTAGTATTCTGGAGGAATAGTAGGCCAGAGCTTGGAGACACTTTTCTATTAAGGTCATTGAGGCCATAAAATGACATTAAATTATTGGTTTAATGGGTATATCTTCCCAAAACCATCATTTCAGCTTTTGGTGGATGAAAAAACATTGAATTATACAACCCTAGAGTTCAGATGCTATAGCCACATTAATCACATGTTTCAGCCATAGACACCCTCGTCCTCCTAAATAAACCAGTGGTTTGGCTATGCAAATCAAAGCAGTAAGTATGCTTTATTGCCCCCCTCTTCAGCGTTATATAGTCACCTTCCATTACAACCCTGATGCAGGAGAGGCAGTACATGTTCAGAAGTCAACAACAACAAGGATGCAAATACAAAAACACACTAAAAACAAATGTGGTGCTCACTTACTTGCTACAGTGCTTTTGCACATATGGCTTGACACTGTGCATTAACTGGACACTAGCATGTATGCATATACACCACGGGGCATGTGAAATACAAGTTATTAACATTAAAACACTGACTTTATTTTCAGTTTGAAAAACTTGGCTTTCCTGATCCCTGGATACCTCTTCCCAGTTCTCTGGTTTATGCTGTAGGTATGTATTGTCATTCTCAACTTGGATTACCGTTATCGAGGGTGTTCTATCGAAAGTTCCAACTCGTTGAGATCTCCAATGACCTGAATTCCGGTTTAGTTAGAAGTAAGAGGTTTGGCCGAGAAGGCTCTACTGCATGTGTGCCACCCACGGCATTTCCCTATACACATACTACCCAGCAATAAAGTATTAAAATGAACTAGGGTCAGACTAATCCAGCACGTTATTAATTTGAGTTGCCCCACACAATATGGCCGCAAGCATCCATTTGACCAATTATAATGGATTGTCAAATGTTACTTTATCTTTCTGTTTGTTTCCTGCTGCATTGGTTTGAAACATTCATTCTAGGTATAACAGCGACACCTGGGGAACAAAGTCTGATTCATTTGTTTTATGGATCACAGTGACACTTAGTGACCAAAGTTAGGTATAGCAGTTATGAAAACCTTGTAAATAGGAGGGGAGGTGTGTGGTTGTTTGTATATACAGGTGAAACTCGAATAATTAGAATATCGTGCAAAGTTCATTTATTTCACTAATGCAACTTAAAAGGTGAAACTAATATATAAGAGAGACTCATTACATGCAAAGCAAGATAGTTCAAGCCGTGATTTGTCATAATTGTGATGATTATGGCTTACAGCTCATGAAAACCCCAAGAACCCCAAATCCACAATCTCAAAAAAGTAGATTATTACATGCAATCAATAAAACAAGGATTGTACATAAAACAATATGAACCTCTGAAAAGTACAAGCATGCATATGTACTCAGTACTTGGTTTGGGCCCCTTTTGCAGCACTTACTGCAATTACTTTTGCACGATATTCTAATTATTCGAGTTTCACCTGTATTAGTAGTGATGGTGATCACACATGCCCTGCACCTGAGCAAGTCTTTGATGATGAACGCTCTAAAGCTGGCCATACACCTTACAATAATCTGCAGATTTTCTATGGTCAGATGGAAATAGGGTAACAGATTCCTCCATCTACGCTAAACTGTGTGGATAGAGGACTCTCCCATTGGGCCAAGCTTCGGTATCTTGCTAGTCGGCCCCGCTGGCTCTCAAAACACCTGAACAATGCCTGCATCCAATCAGAGTGTTCAGGTATTTTGGGAGCCAGGGAGGCCGACTAGCAAGATACTGAAACTTGGCCCAGGTGGAGATTACACCATTCACACAGTTTAGCATAGATGGAGGAATCTGTTCCACCTTTTCCATCTGACCATAGAAAATCTGCAGATAATTGTAAGGTGTATGGCCAGCTTAAGGTAGGGGTCTGCTGATGTCCCACGCTCTGTGTACAGACTCTTTATGGTCATTGATCTCGGAGTGGTATTAGTGCTCTTTATTTCTGTTGTGCCAACACTTTCTTTGTGAGTGGGTTTTTTTTGGTTTTAATATTCACTATTCACTGAGATGCTTCTCCTTCACAGCTGCTGCCGCCACTGGGCCCCTGCCTCCTCCTCCTTGGCTGCTGAACCCCGGCTTCCTGACCGGGCCCCCCTCTTCCCCAGGCCCCATAGCGACCCTATGGGTCGCTATGGCGGTTTTTATGCCACTGGATAGCGCATAGAAAATATAGTGTGGATAGCATGCAGAGAACATAGTGTGGATAGCGCACAGAGAACATAGTGAGGAAAGGCCGCAGAGAACATAGTGAGGAAAGGCCACAGAGAACATAGGGTGGATAGGGCTCAGAGAACATAGTGTGCATTGGGCACAGAAAACAGTGTGGATAGTGCAAAGAGAACATAGTGTGGATAGGGTTCAGAGAATATAGTGTGGGTAGGGTGCAGAGAATATAGTGTGGATAGCCCGCAGAGAACATAGTGTGGATAGGGTTCAGAGAACATAGTGTGGATAGGGTGCAGGGAAGATAAGGGGGCAGTGGGGGAGAGCTGCCAGGGGAAGGGAAGGGGCAGTGGGGGAGAGCTGCCAGGGGAAGGTAAGGG